GGCTGGGGTGGGAGAGTATAGGAGATGTAGAACGGCGGAAAGACAAAGAAGATGATAAGTAGCCTGGTGTAAGAGATCAGTACAGACCGGTCAGCAGGAGATGTAGTGACGTGGAGGCGAGAGGAGTCGGAGGACACGACACCGGTGATGTTGGTGCAGTGTTGGTGGCTTGTAAATGGGGGTAGAAATGAGAGTGAAGGGGATGTTGAGTGATGATCAGCTATCAGTCTGGCGGTGTCAGCGATCTCGCTTGCGTTCATGTCTCTCGTGATGCGATTCTTGAACCACTATTCGGCAGATTCTGTTCATAACTGTATTCGAAAGCTACTGACTGCGTTGCATGGATCTCACCCCCCAGCAACATTCACTACAACAGCCACTGCAACATTCACTGCCAAAGAGCGGCTAAATCGAGGGAGGGCGGGAGGGAGGGAGGGGGTCGGGGGGGCGGATGGCTACCGGTGAGGCACCTCAGGTCGCTAACCAAAGTGCGTCAGTCTCTTGATAAGTCAAGTTTAGCATTTCACCCACCCAAGCCTTGGTGTAGAAGCACACCGGCCCACAGGATATTCCCAATGAGCCAAAGCAAAGACCACCGCTGGGCGGAGAAGAACGGCAGCGGGTTAGCTTTCTGGGCCCAGTTTGCCCGCAGCCATTTCAGGTTGACAGATGGCAGGACGCCAACTACCACACCGGTGACCGTAAGGACCAGGGGCGTCCCGCGGGGCCAGCCTCTTTTCAGAAACGCACGCCATTAGCCTTATCGTGGGCAAGAGGGGGGGGAGATCTTACCCGACGAGACACACGACAATCGAGTTCATGAAGACAAATGTCGGAATGATGGCTAATGGCTGTGTCAGGTCTCGGAAATGGTGAAGAATGTACACCCAGAGGACGTACCCGTAGCCCAGAATGAAATTCGTCGGTGATCATCTATTTTCTTCTTGGCTGCGCTCCGCATGTCGTTGGCTTGTGCGAGAGGCAATGGGAGAGAGTCGATCTTCCTGAACTCGTTATCAACCCACTTGTTGTAGGCCCTCTTATCTTGGCCCGCGATATCCTCAAAGATGCCCCTAAGCCATCCTTGGAACCCGTCAGTGCAAGTCCAGCCAGGCCAGGCAGTGGGCAACACGGGCACAAGTTCCCGCCAGCGGGGGACAGGCACGAGGGAGAGTGAGGCGGGGTTGGCGACGTGCGGGGCGGTGGGGTTTGCGACGTGCGGGGCGGTGGGGTTGGCGACGTGCGGGGCGGTGGGGTTGGCGACGTTGTGGGTGGGAGGGTTGACGATGGGGCCAAGGACAAAGTCGACGGGCAGAGGGCGGGCGTCTTCTGGCTGAGTGGGAGCGGCGGACGACATTCTGGTTTCTGGGTGTTGTGATAAAGGTGTGGAAAGAGAGAAAGACGTTGGCGCGTTGTTTGGGGCGAACGGCGGCAGATCAACATCGGCACACCCCGCTTTACCTCCATCAACCATATCAGTACCTCCTTACCCGTCGCTGCTGCGTGTTAGCAATTTTGGCAATTTTGAATGCATGGTCATGAGATACAGACCATTGAATGCTCTGTAGGGGGATGCTCTGTAGCGGGTACCACAGTCAGAGTGCTCCGTGTTGACGCGTGCGACGCGCGATCATTTTGCGATCATTCAACATGGGCGTTGACGCGCTTACTTACGTAACATTCACCTGCAACAAGAAAAGTCACGTGCTCTGGCACACTCCAGCCTGACTCCGTCCAGCGCTCACCCAGCACAAACCCAGCAATGGCACCCAGTACAACGGAAGTTTGCCATCTACATATCATCCGCTTATTTCATCGCCCAAATCTTCACATCAAGATGATCTCTCAGTGGGTCACCCGCGCCAAGCAATTCTACTACGAGATCGGAGACAATGACACCCGCCCTCGCTTCATCTCCAATACCGACAGCCCGTATAATGATATCCTGCATTGCGGCTCTTTAAACTCCAAAAGCTATTGCTTCGATATACTCAGTGACAATTGGGCTTCCCAGTACTATATTGTCCGGTTCAAGGGACCCGAAGGGGTCGCGGTATGTGCTCTCTGTTCCGGTGGCGAAGCACTGACGCGCGTTCACAGATATCCCGCAGAGACTTTTGCAAGGCATGGGCCCTTTCCCGTCGGACAGTCGCTTTTTTAGGCGGCCTTCAATCATCAATACAAGACTGGGGTGTTGAACAGGAACATGCAGAAGATTTAGAGACCATCTCTGAGCTGCTCCGTAAAGTAAGTCTTGTATCCGGTAAAGCAGTATCAGCAGCTTATTCTTCCGCTTTGGAACAGTACGAAGCCTATTGGGGTGAGTCTCTCTCCGACTAGTCAAATCCCTTGTACATCCACTGATACCAATGGTAGACGAACTCAGCTTTGTCATGCAGCACATCAGTTCCTGGGAACGGATCGGTTATCTGCCCTTTGTCCACGCCCCTCTCCCACCCGACTACAAATCCCTCGTAATCAACCCCGGCAAACCTCGCTCTCGTAGATGGATCCTCAAAGGCGTGGACGATTACAATTGGGTTCCGCTCGAGGCTTATTTCAGATGTGAATCGCCTTTCAGTGCGCTATACATCTTTTACGTCAAGAAGATACTGGAACTACACGAAGAAGGTTTTGAGGATCGGTGGTTTGCTATGTGGGATAAGTGGGGGCCAGATCCGGCTGAGTACGGGCTGTATCGGTTTCCGGGGGATGTCCCCATCAGTGAGAGTGAGTTGCAGTTGCGGAAGAAGAGTCAAGGTGTGGACTTCGGGGAGCTACTTTCGGATTTTGGTGATATGTGAGTCTGCTGATATTGATCATCGTTTTCTATGCTCATGGAGGTAGATCACGAACTCCAGTCCGGGGCTACGATGAGTGACCACGATACAAGAAAGTAGTATATGACTGCCGATCAGGAGATGTAAGTCTTGTTTGTCTAGTGTATTTTGCAGTGCTGATACCTTCTTCGCTGTCACTGTCATATAGTCCCACTTTGATCACGTTATCCCCCAATTCAGCATTTCCCAAGTCGGCACCGCTCTCTTCCAGTGCAGCCTTGCCTATCTCCGGATCTACCTCCTTCTCATTTGGTTCGTTTGGTATCCACCTTCGTCTTTGCCAATCTAGAGACGCATACTCCACCCGCTTGTACTAGCTTCTCTCTGAGCGGTACATTTCTTCCGCTCTATCGAGTCCGAGCATCAGCTAATACATGTATAGCGTCTCTGACCAAGTCTCCCGACTCATCCTCGCACTCGTCACCCAATTCCATACTGGAACGGCATGATGATCTTTTTTCCTCGTAATTGGCGGTGGTGAGCCATTTTTTCCCTTCTATCTCCAACATTCATGCGGAGAATCCAAAGCTGACGGGAATGCAGCGAGTCTCTCGTCCAATCTTCCGCTGTCGCAGCCGACGTCTTCATCTGGATGTCTGTCGTTGTCGCCTTGTTCAACTACGGATGGAAAATGCGTGGACCATGTGGAGGCGGAGTTGGCGTTTGGTCGACGACATTGGAGATGAGAAACGGGAGAGATGAGAGAAAAGGGCTGGGACGGGGATAAAGACGGTCAAGGAGAGACGATCTGGGCGCGGAGGCATGTCGCAAGTCGTATCCCGCAGGTCATATCGTGTGAGAGTGAGAGGTCAGTGAGCAAGCGAACGACGGGAGCGAAAAGCTGGCGAAATAGATGAGAAAATTGTCAGGATCGATGCAAGACACGACTTGTTCCCAGACTGGAAATCGCTTGCTACAATACCGTCATACTCGTCTACTGATAGTTGCATCTCCAGACGCACTACTACATCCTACAAACAACAAGCGAAGGCGTATACCCTCGTGGTATATATTATCACATGAAGAGCTTGGGCCGGCTCGTCTATCTGGACGCTCGAAGCGATCTTGCACGAGCGATAATATCCCTGTTCCCCAAGATCAGATGTTTATCAAGAGGAGGGTTCTCGATAAGGTTCGTGATACAAGCCCCAACACTGCATCTCGAATCAGCTTACACACTCCCCCTGAACCTCAAAATACTTACTACCCTTTCCCATCAACAGTCAACGCGTCCGTGCCTACCCCGGCCCATCTCGCCCATCCAAAAAACTTCTGCAATCCAATCTCGGATCAATCCACTCGCTCCCTGGGGCCAAGCAACATCGAGGATAACGAGATGATGAAAGCGGAGGGTGGCAAAGTGTTCTTCGAGTTGGCCTTTTATGCGGAGGTAGAAGAATGACGAGTCGGGGGAATGCGTGAGAGCCAGATACGAGGATAACCCGGGGATCGTCAATTTCACGTCGAAGGTGACACCTGAAATGAATGAAATATAGATACACAGAAAAGAACGCTGAGCCGTCTTGCCGGTAGGGGACTGGCCGTCGGGCATTGTCAATTGGCGGCGATGCAGACTATGACGCGTCATTGTCACTCTAACTGTACATAGGTCTATGAAAAGCATTACATAGCTGCATGTATAGAATTGGGCAGGACTTCCCTGCAGCAGCGCCAGCCCTGATATTTGGACGAGCGTCAGAAGTCAATCAGAAGTAGATGGGAACCAAACAGAGAGCACGAGCCAGCAGTTGGGATCGGGTTTCTGTTCAAACCAGGGTGTCCTGATCGCTGTGCGCTCTGTCTTGCCCGGCTAACACGAGCCAGGGTTTGGCCAGGGTTTTCGATTCCATTTGCAAAGACGTCATCACAAACACCGTCTCATTACAGCAAGTCCCACCCACCCCTAAATTGCTGTCCCCGTAGAGGCAACATGGCAGCCCCTGGCCCGAGCCCAGGTTTGGCCCAGGTCCGAGCGTTTCCACGCTCCAGAACGGGATCACGGAAGAACACACCTTCTCTCCCAGCTGACCGCCTCTTCTCGGAGAAAGAAGCTGGCCAAACCATCGCAACCACAAACCCAAAGACCGGACAAGAGGGAAGGAGCGGGAAGGTTCTTGCCCTGGGATACGCAGTGATTGAAGTTGGGGAGGATGAGGGTGAGCTCTGTTCAATTTGCATGGTGGATTGGTCGCTGACAGCTTGTAGATTCGGTGCCGCCGCTCTCGGTTTTCTATCCTCCTTCATCGCATCCGAAGCCTGCTCAGGCTCGTCCCCAGTGCTTTGCCCGTAGAGTCCTTCTCGGTTGGCTTTCCCCTCGTACAAACGTGTATGGGCGCTGGTGTACAGGTTACTGCCGTCGTCATAGTTTTGGAATGGATGAAACCACAGTCAATGGTGAGCTTGACCTCTTCACGGATGATGTCGTAGGCTAATTGCATACATGGACAGCTCCAAGACCTATCAACATGGCTCTTATATGTAGAGACATGGGCATCCGAGGCAGTCGACAGGGGTGAGGTATAGAAGCTGCATGAGCGACGTGAGTCAAATCCATCTCGAAATGAAAGATCATGAAGACTGACAACGAGTAGTGTAATCACACTTGCAGCACTATATTGAGCCATTACCCGCCAATGTTGGTACGACCACGTATGCTGGTGTCGGGCCTCTGTTACCACTTGGCTCTGGTACTTCAACGCGTTCGTCCTCTCCCAACGTCACGCGTTCGAAGCACACTGACGATATCACAGCTCGGAAATTCCTAGCGTTGTGGTTTGCACGAAGGCCGATCTCATGGATAATGCTGCCGAGGATGTGAAATTCAATGGTGGACGCTGGGAAGAAAAGACAGATCGAGCACGGCAGGCACTGGGAAATGTCTGTTTGGCCTGTATGTTCATTCCATCTTCATTGACTATCATGCTGATCATCGAATTAGATGGTGCCGCGCTGTTCTACACTGCCCCTACCCAGCCTACGACATACGCTCTCTTGAAGAGCTATACCGTCCCGCCTCCACTGATTTCACCACCAGCCTCCCCAAACACCGTATCGGCACCCGCCATCGTCGGCTCTACCAAATTCCCCTTCAATCACCGAGCCAACGTGCTTGACAGAGATGCTGCCATGATACCCAGCGGATGGGACAGTTGGGGCAAGATTAATGTTTTGAGAGATGGTTCTGACCCCGCGCAGCTGGAGAAGGGTTGGAAAGTCAGTTTGAGCAGGTATGGTGACCCGCAGCCAACTCGACCTCCTCATGAAAGACCCCAACCGAGATTCCAGCCAATCTTCCGACACGCGGCTTCCGCCACCTCATCCTCCAACGTTCCCTCTGGTTCGTTTCCTCTGCTTTTAGCTTGCCTGGTGTTGAGAAGGTCATGCAGGAGATGGAAGGTCGGATTGGAGAGGGAGATGATGGGAAGGAGGGAGAGTCGAAGGACAAGTTTGCGAGGTTGGGAGGAAGGATGG